AACCAGGACTAAAAAGGACTAAAAACAGGAAAGAACCAGGAACTAAATCAGGAACTAAAAACAGGAATAAACCAGGACTAAACCAAGTCTAAACCAGGACTAAACTAAGACTAAAAAAGGACTAAGACAGGAATGAACCAGAACTGAACCAGAACTGAACCAGGACTGAATCAGGACTAAAACAGGACTAAACTAAGGACTAAAAAGGGACTAAAACAGGAAAGAACCAGGACTAAATCAGGACTAAAAACAGGAATAAACCAGGACTAAACCAGGTCTAAACCAGGACTAAACTAAGACTAAAAAAGGACTAAGACAGGAATGAACCAGAACTGAACTGAACCAGGACTGAATCAGGACTAAAACAGGACTAAACCAGGACTAAACTAAGACTAAAAAAGGACTAAGACAGGAATGAACCAGGACTAAAACAGGACTGAATCAGGATTAAAAACAGCACTAAACCAGGTCTAAACCAGGACTAAAAAGGGACTAAAACAGGAAAGAACCAGGACTAAATCAGGACTAAAAACAGGAATAAACCAGGACTAAACCAAGTCTAAACCAGGACTAAACTAAGACTAAAAAAGGACTAAGACAGGAATGAACCAGAACTGAACCAGGACTGAACCAGGACTGAATCAGGACTAAAACAGGACTAAACCAGGACTAAACTAAGCCTAAAATGGACTAAGACAGGAATGAACCAGGACTAAAACAGGACTGAATCAGGATTAAAAACAGCACTAAACCAGGTCTAAACCAGGACTAAAAAGGACTAAAACAGGAAAGAACCAGGACTAAATCAGGACTAAAACAGGAATAAACCAGGACTAAACCAAGACTAAACCAGGACTAAACTAAGACTAAAAAGGACTAAGACAGGAATGAACCAGAACTGAACCAGGACTGAATCAGGACTAAAACAGGACTAAAACAGGACTGAATCAGGATTAAAAACAGCACTAAACCAGGTCTAAACCAGGACTAAAAAGGGACTAAAACAGGAAAGAACCAGGACTAAATCAGGACTAAAAACAGGAATAAACCAGGACTAAACCAAGTCTAAACCAGGACTAAACTAAGACTAAAAAAGGACTAAGACAGGAATGAACCAGAACTGAACCAGGACTGAATCAGGACTAAAACAGGACTAAAACAGGACTGAATCAGGATTAAAAACAGCACTAAACCAGGTCTAAACCAGGACTAAAAAGGGACTAAAACAGGAAAGAACCAGGACTAAATCAGGACTAAAAACAGGAATAAACCAGGACTAAACTAAGACTAAAAAAGGACTAAGACAGGAATGAACCAGAACTGAACCAGAACTGAACCAGCACTGAATCAGGACTAAAACAGGACTAAACCAGGACTAAACTAAGACTAAAAAAGGACTAAGACAGGAATGAACCAGGACTAAAACAGGACTGAATCAGGATTAAAAACAGCACTAAACCAGGTCTAAACCAGGACTAAAAAGGGACTAAAACAGGAAAGAACCAGGACTAAATCAGGACTAAAAACAGGAATAAACCAGGACTAAACCAAGTCTAAACCAGGACTAAACTAAGACTAAAAAAGGACTAAGACAGGAATGAACCAGAACTGAACCAGGACTGAATCAGGACTAAAAACAGGACTAAACCAGGACTAAACCAGGTCTAAACCAGGACTGAACCAGGTCTAAACCAGGACTAAAACAGGTCTAAACCAAGACTAAAAAAGGACTAAAACAGTACTAAACCAGAACTGAACCAGGACTGAACCTGGACTAAACCAGAACTAATCTAGCCAGGACTAAACCAGGTCTAAACCAGGACTAAAAACAGACTAAACCAGGACTACAACAAGACTAAACCAGGTCTAAACCAGGACTGAGTGTCGGGACTGGCCTGGAGGTAGCCCTGCGTAGACCGTTGGGTGACACCGGGTGAAAGGACGGGCGCAGAGCTCTGTGCCCCCCGAGACTAAGTGTAGCTGTCGCCTGATTTGCGGACATCCTGCTCCACGGGCTCGGGGTTCTTCATGTCTCTCAAGTCCAAGATTAGTCCTGGTTTAGTCCTGGTTTAGTCCTGGTTTAGACTTGGTTCAGTCACCCATTCTCCACGACAATTCTCCATAAATACACAAAAACATGACGCAAATCTGTACACGACAATTTCACAAACCTGTAGCGATGTGCAGTAGTTTCATTAGCGGGATGCACTCTGACTGTGTTGTGATTAGTGCTCTGAAGGGGGAGTGACTTAGCGTGGGGAGCAAAGGGAGTTAATACATTATTTATTCATAGCAAATACAGGATTTTCAAACCATGGAGATCTAAATATGTTATGTGTTACAGTTAAAACCCCATAGAAGTAAAATACCCCCTCTTGAATAAGCAAATAATAAAGGTGCACTGTGTAACTTTTTTCGTTGAGGGTCCCTCACCTGCTTGTTTCTATAAAGATGTCACTGCTCTGTCTGGAATGTTCCACAGTGTGACATTAATCAGCTCTGCTTTACATTTATTCAATTATAAGGTGGATTTATGGCTCAAAAATACCTAGAAAAACAGACATTCTGACTGTGAGCGGAGTCGCCTCTCCACAGATCTGACCTGTAACTTGGTTTGGTTTGGTCTCCGTGAAGATAGAATGGTTTAAAGCCATACTGTGAAACATTTCAGACAAAGCAATAACAGCTCCATGGAGAAAAGCATTTGACGGACCCTCCACCAGAAAAGTTACACAACGTTTAGACTAGGGATGGGCATGATTAATCGATTAATCGATTATTGATCATTAAGAATTTCATCGATTACGTAAATTTTAATTGACAAACCGAATTGTCAGGGAATTCTACCCTAAGACATCAAATTACATTAAATAAAGACACACCAAAACGAGACGGTTAAAAGTAATACTTGGGCAAGGAGAGTTGAGGATCACCTGCCCCTGGCTGCGCTCTGGCCGACTCCACTCTCCAAACACCCATTTATTCACAATCATGACACAGATAAGGTACAATACATGACATCATATAAGATAAGATAAGATAAGATAAGATAATCCTTTATTGTCTCCTATGGGAGAAATTTGTCTTGGGACAGGGGGTCACATGTTTTATCAAAAAACAGGACAACACAACACAAAGCAGCACATAAACAAACACCATAAAACAAAGTAAATATGAGACCAGTGTGACCACGAGTGATGCACCAACAGGACCCTTAAATTATCCTTAACAGGCATTGAACCTTGCATTCTTCTGTTCATAATTATTGCACATTCCCCCTATGTGCTATTATTGCACATTCCCTACCAGCCTATGTGCAGTTTTGATTGCACAATCCCTAAGCCTTTTATAATTATTTTTAAAAGGCTTAGGGATTGTGCAATCACACAGTGTTTACATGATCACATACTAACAATCTTTTAGTCTAAACCGCCCCCCCCCCATTTCACACTTGATTACATGTTCCAGGTGATAAACAATCAGGTCAGTTTTCTCCCAAAAACTTATGCTAACCACATGAGGGGAAAAACCCTTCGCTGTCTTCTCATGGGCGACTCAGTAGATGAGCTTAATGAGTGAGGAGTTCTTGAACTAGGACATATGATATACATATGGAAAAACCCAAAAAACGCAATTGTTGATAACTTTAATCACACACACAAATGATTATGATTTTAAATGATTCATAATATTTAAAATAACACAGAAATTCTTTCACACGAATGTAGGTTGCTGTGTGTGTCGTGACCAAACAGGTGTGTACATGTGTCTCTGCATCAGAAGGAGCGAGACACAAACAGTGGGTCAGTCTGCAACGAACCGAAGCACAAATGTGTATTTAACAATGATTTGTACAAGAAATTCCACACTTTCCGTTGCGTTGGGACAAGTGTGAGTCCATGTGCACAGTGTATAAAGCAGCACATATGTTTCTGTGTCCAGTGGGAAAAAGTTTTACCAGGTGAGAGTCGCTCAATGTGGATGACGAGGCCCCGCCCCCCTCCCCCCGTACGCTGTCCTGGTTTTGACAAACGCAAATCTGGTCACACTAACCTGTATTCACCTGAGTCATGTCTTTTAATCCGACACAAGTTGAACCACATCAGCGACACACAAGAGCTGGTAGTTTTATCTTCGCTGAGTTTATGCAAATTAGTGATGTGGTTTTAAGTTTTGTTTCTGTGAGATTTGAACAAAACTGAATTAAACACATTATAATGTCAAACGGGCTGATGTGGCTCTAGAGTCGTTACAGTTTATATGTCGTAAAGTTGAATTTATTTATGCAGATTAGTAGTGCAGATAGTAATAATAATGATGATCATTTTAATATAAAAACGTTAATGATTAATCGATAATCGATCGTTAATTCTTCCGACGATCGATTAAGAAAATTTCATCGAATGCCCATCCCTAGTTTAGAGTTTGTTTTTTAAGAGTTGAGTCTTCATTTTGTCACAGTTTAATCTTGAAGTGATGGAGTCATACTGAGTCATACTGCTGTAAAATACTTTTGGTTTTTGAAAACAATTCTACACAAAGACTCAAGGACTTTTTAAAAATGGCACTTATCTGTATTTGCACATCGACTTCAACTTCAAACTTCAAGTTATACATAAAGGTGCATTGCGAAACTTTCCAGACTGACGCAAATGCAGAGAGCTCCAGTGTCCACAAGGGGGCGTCCTCAAACCGTTCAGGATCATAAATGCGTTTAAAGGTCCTGTACCTGATATGAACCGTGCGTCAGGAACATGTTTGAACCTTTATCCCCGCCCACTTTGACCTTTGTGCCTGTGATATGGCAGTGACACACAAACAGCCGCGCCAGGACGTTTCCTTCTAGATCTCACATCCTGAATCGTACTGTTGTTTTGTTTTGGCTTTTTTGCTCTTGAAAATGCACCATGACAGAGAATTCAAGTGTCTGGTCGTTGTTTTCTTATAGTTCTCACATTAATAATCCCACTATTTATTTATGTCACACTTCATAATGCACCATGACAGAGAATAAAGTGTCTAGAATAGTGCAGGTAAGTTGTTTCGTAATAGTTCTCAAGCCTAGTTTTTTTGTTGTTGTTGTTTTTTTTGTTTGTTTGTTTCTTTTTTTTGGGGGGAGGGGATATTTTTGCTCTTGAAAATGCACTTTGACAGAGATCCAAGTGTCTGGGAAAGTGTCTAGCAGTTATTTTTATATAGTTATTTCCTCTTTAATTCTATTGTTTCGTAATAGTTCTCAATCCTAGTTTTTTTTTTTATTATTTTTTTAAAATTAATTTATTTATTTATTTTTGGTTTGTTTGTTTGTTTGTTTTTTTTGCTTTTTGGGGATATTTTTGCTCTTAAAAATGCACCATGACAGAGAATTTAAGTGTCTGGTAGTTGTTTTCTTATAGTTCTCATGGTAATAATCCTACTATTTATTTATGTCACACTTCATAATGCACCATGACAGAAAAGTGTCTTGGATGGTGTCAGTAAGTTGTTTCTTAATATTTCCCACATCTTTAATCTTACAGATTTTTTTTTGTTTTGTTTTCTGCACTTGAAAATGCACCATGTCAGAAAAACACGTGTCTAGAAAAGTGTCAGTCAGTCGTTTCCATATTGTTCTCGCATCCTTAATCATACTGGGTTTGTTGTTGTTGTTGTTTTTATTTCGCTCTTGAAAATGCACCATGACAGAGAATTTAAGTGTCTGGTAGTTGTTTTCTTATAGTTCTCATGGTAATAATCCTACTATTTATTTATGTCACTCTTTGAAATGCACCATGACAGAGAATAAAGTGTCTAGAACAGTGCCAGTAAGTTGTTTCGTAATAGTCCTCAATCCTAGTTTTTTTTTGTTTGTTTGTTTTGTTTGTTTTTTTGGGGATATTTTTGCTCTTAAAAATGCACTTTGATAGAGATTCAATTGTCTGGGATAGTCTGGCTGCTAATTTTGTATAGTTCTTTCTTCTTTAATCCTGCTGTTTGTTTTATAGCGCACTTGAAAATGCACTATGACAGAAAAACAAGTGTCTAGAAAAGTGTCAGCCAGTGTCAGTCCTTATTGTTCCCACATCCTTAATCATACTGTTTGTTTTTGTTTAGTTTGTTTAGTTGACCTTTGTGCCTCTGATATGGCAGTGACACACAAACAGCTGTCTGGGTCCGTGCCAGGACGTTTCCTTATAGATCTCACATCCTGAATCATACTGTTGTTTTGTTTGGGCTTTTTTGCTCTTGAAAATGCACCGTGACAGAGAATCTAGTGTCTGGTCGTTGTTTTCTTATAGTTATACATTTATAATCCCAATAACTCTTCATAATGCACCATGACAGAAAAGCGTCTAGGATGGTGTCAGTCAGTTGTTTTGTAATATTTCCCACATCTTTAATCTTACAGGTTTTTTTGTTGTTGTTGTTTTTTTTTTGTTTGTTTGTTTTCTGCACTTGAAAATGCACCATGACCAGTGTACTTGATTTGTTGTAGAGAAGCAAAGACGAGGAAATCTTCACGTAAGAAGTTTTGTCTGATAAAAGAAAATGAAAAAGCCGAGTCTTTACCAAAATTAAAAGAGGAAGAATAGGAAACACGGTCCATGCAGCATGATTTAGTCCAGTTAAGACCTGTTTTAGACCTGGTTTTAGTCCTGGTTTAGTCCCAGTTTAGACCTGGTTTGGGCCTGGTTTTAGTCCTGGTTTAGTCCCAGTTTAGACCTGGTTTGGGCCTGGTTCTGACCTGGTTTTAGTCCTGGTTTAGTCTTGGTTTAGACCTGGTTTAGTGTCCGGCAATGAGTGGAATTACTGGGGGGGAAAAAAAAAAAAGAAAAAAAAGGGAAATAGCCCGAAATGTGAAAACAGGAAAATACCGCCATGTAATCCATTTATTTCAACAAAGTAACTGTAATCCAATTACCACTCACTGAAACAGTAACTGTAACCGAATACAGTTACTCATAATTTGTACTCTGATTACATAACTCCGGTACATGTAATCTGTTACTCCCCAACACTGACCATGACAGAAAAACAAGTGTCTAGAAAAGTGTCAGTCAGTCGTTTCCATATTGTTCTTGCAACCTTAATCATACTGGGTTTGTTGTTGTTGTTTTTATTTCACTCTTGAAAATGCACCATGACAGAGAATAAAGTGTCTAGAATAGTGCCACTAAGTTGTTTCGTAATAGTACTCAAGCCTAGTTTTTGTTGTTTTGTAGTTTTTTTGTTTGTTTGTTTGTTTGTTTGTTTTCTTTTTTTTCTCTTTTTTTTGTTTTCTTTGGTTTTTGGGGATATTTTTATATATATATATATATTTTTTTTATATATTTGTATAGTTATTTCCTCTTTAATTCTATTGTTTCATAATAGTTCTCAATCCTTTTTTTTTTTTTTTTTCTTGTTTTTTTGTTTTTTGGGGATATTTTTGCTCTTGAAAATGCACTTTGACAGAGATCCAAGTGTCTGGGATAGTGTCTAGCAGTTATTTTTATACAGTTCTTTCCTCTTTTAGCCTACTGTTATTTTATAGCACAATTGAAAATGCACCATGACAGAAAAACAAGTGTTGTAAAAAGTGTCAGGCAGTTGGTTCCATATTGTTCTTGTATCCTTAATCATACTGTTTGTTTTTTGTTGTTGCTCTTGTTTTTTTACTCTTGAAAATGCACCATGACAGAGAATTCAAGTGTCTGGTAGTTGTTTTCTTATAGTTCTCACGGTAATAATCCTAATATTTATTTTATGTCACTCTTTGAAATGCACCATGACAGAGAATAAAGTGTCTAGAACAGTGCCAGTAAGTTGTTTCGTAACAGTTCTCAAGCCTAGATTTTTTATTTTTTTTTGTTTTTTGTTTTGTTTTTTTTTTTTTTTTTTTTTTTTTTTTTTTGGTGTTTGGGGATATTTTTGCTCTTGAAAATGCATCATGACAGAGATTTAAGTGTCTGGGAAAGTGTCTAGCTGTTATTTTTGTATAGTTATTTACTCTTTAATTCTATTGTTTTATAATAGTTCTCAATCCTAGTTTTTTTTTTTTTTTTGTTTTTTTCCTTTTTGGGGATATTTTTGCTCTTGAAAATGCATCGTGACAGAGATTCAAGTGTCTGGGATAGTGTCTAGCAGTTATTTTTGTATAGTTATTTCCTCTGTAATTCTATTGTTTTGTAATAGTTCTCAATCGTAGTTTTTTTTTTTTTTTTTTTTGGTTTGTTTGTTTTTTGTTGTTGCTCTTTGTTTTTTTTTTTTATTCTTGAAAATGCATCATGACAGAGAACTAAGTATCTAGAATAGTGCCAGGAAGTTGTTTCCTGATAGTGCTCACGTCTTTAATCCTACAATTTTTTTGTTTTGTATCGTTTTGTTTTTTGCTCTTGAAAATGCACCATGACAGAGAATCAAGTATCTCGAATTGTGCCAGGCAGTTGTTTCCTTGTTCTTATCACATCTCGCACTTGATGCACCCTGACAGAGAATCCAGTGTCTAAAATTATGCCTAAAATTTCCTAATAGTTTTCACATCTTTAATCCTACATTTAATTTTTTGTTTGTTTGTTTTCTGCTCTTGAAAATGCACCACAACAAAGAAACAGAGGAAGTGTCCATAAAGTTCTTTCTTCTTTAATCCTACTGTTTGTTTTATAGCACGACAAAAAACAAGTGTCTAGAAAAGTGTTAGACAGTTGTTTCTTTCACACTCGATGCACCGTGACAGAGAATCCAGTGTCTAGAAAGTGCCAGTAATTTGTTTCTTATAATAGTTCTCACATCTTTAATCCTACATTTATTTTTTTGTTTGCTTTCTCGCTGTTGTTTCCTTGTAATTCTCACATCTCTCTCTTCCGAAATGCACACTTGAAAATACACCATGCTGCTGGGATAGTACCAGAAAGTTGTTTTCTTTTAGTTCTCATATCTCAGTTTTGAAATTGTAGCACAACAGAGAATCCTGTGTCTGAGATAGCGCCGGGGTTAGTGTTTTACAGTCCTATTAATTCTCATGTCTCTGTCTTGAAAATGCACAATAACAGAGAATCAAGTGTCTGGGAAAGTGTCTGGCAGTAGTTTTCACATTTACAATCCTACTATTTACTTTGTGTCACTCTTCAAAATGCACCATGACAGAGAATTAAGTGTCTAGAAAAGTGTCGGGGAGTTATTTCCCTTATTGTTCTCACATCTCTCGCTTGAAAATGTACCATGACAGTGAATTCAGTGTCTGGGATAGTGTCTAGCACAGGACTGGGCAAACGTTTTGGCTCGCGGGCCACATAAGGTCCTAAAAATTGCCTGAAGGGCCGGACAGAACACAGGACATGACGTGTTAAAGGTTGTATGGAGGATTTTTTTTTTTTTTCAAATTGTCAATGAAAGTTTAAAATACCATTACAGAGACGCAGCAGCTTTGTAATTATAATGACCAAAAAAAAAAAAAGAATGAAAATCTATCAACTGTGGACGTAGTGAGGACAGATAAACATCAGCCAATAGAAAACGAGGCTCCCTCATTTTCTATTGGCTGTTAGGTTGTCAATCAAACTCCCTAGTGTAACTGAGTTGTCGGCGCGCGGGGATTATGTGGTTTATGCAGCGGTTCTTAGAGGCTTTTTCAAACTGTAGTTTCCTCGCATTTCGCACAAAGTTTGTCGTGACGGCGGACGAGAATCCACGACCAGTTCGCCGCAAAAGAAAGTCAGTTTTTGAGGTCGCTGAAAGAAGAAGAGAAGGAGAAAAGGAGCGAAGACAAACTGAGGTGATTCTTGGAGATTCCTTCCACCGATGGTGTGACTGAAGCAGACGAAGGGTCTAAAAACTGACGCGTCGGTCGATAAATTACCTCTAGACAGGAAACTTCAACAGTGATTCTGAACACACACAAGGACTGTCGCTGTATTTCTCTTCTCTTAAAAAAATCCTCTATACAACCTTTAAGAGCTCAGCTGCATTATATTCGTATTTACGCTTATGTAGGAAACGTACTACGTGCTACGACATCGCCGCAAAAAACTTAAACACACAAAAATCAACAGATCCACTACACTGCATGCCACAG